CTGTCATTAGGATGAACATCCCTCCTGGCTCTCTTTGCCTCTCCGTGTCTTCCTCTGTCTCTCTCTCATGTCCTTTAGACAGTAAGCACAGCTGTTCCTGTGGTGGAGGTTAACTCGGGGCTCCGGGCGGGTTCGTGCACTTCGGCCGATCTCTTATTAGTTAACCGCGGGATGTGTTTAAACACCCCCTCACACACACACACACACACACACACACACACACACACACATCTGAGAATACACACACACGCACACACTGACCACAACACACGTCTAAGAATAAATACACGCACACACGCGCACAGACCACAACACACGCACACACACACACACACACACATATGTGCATACACACACACACACACACACACACACACACACACACAACACACATAAATACACACACATGTTGCCGACTAATACTAAAAGCACTTGGTAACAGAAAAGCCTGGTAAAGGTTGATCATACTGTGAATGCCGTACAGAAATCAAGACTTTCAATTTAAGACCAAATACTAATAATAAAAATAAATGTGAATACATCGTGAAGCTGTGAAGAAAATAGAGAAAGAATAATGAGTCTGTGTGTGTTTCTGTCTCTGTGTGTATGTGTGTTTTATGTATGTATGTATATATATGTATATATGTATGTGTATATGAGTGTGTGTACATGTGTAGGTATGAGCATATATGTGTGCATATAAGTACAGTATGTGTGTATGCATATATGTGTGTGTCCACGTACTCTCTGTCTGTGTGTGTGTGCGCGTACATGCGTGTGTGTGTGTGTGTGTGTGTATACATGTGTTTATATGTGTATTGATGTGTTTTTTGATAAACACATAAATAAACAACAATGCATACTGTAGTATACTTTAGTCTTTACTACATTAAACTGTGGTGTATTGTAGTACAACACACCCTATAATTGATGATTTGTTTATATTACCTTAGTTCTTGCATTACCATAGCAACTGTAGAATCAATACAACAGATTAATTATTAAAGTTTTTGTGTTACCATAGCAACTGTAGAATTACCACAACAGATTATTTACTAAAGTGTTTGTGTTACTATAGCAACTGTAGAATTACTACAACAGATTATTTACTAAAGTGTTTGTGTTACCATAGCAACTGTAGAATCACCACAACAGATTATTTACTAAAGTGTTTGTGTTACCATAGCAACTGTAGAATCACTACAACAGATTAATTATTAAAGTTTTTGTGTTACCATAGCAACTGTAGAATCACCACAACAGATTATTTACTAAAGTGTTTGTGTTACCATAGCAACTGTAGAATCACCACAACAGATTACTTACTAAAGTGTTTGTGTTACCATAGCAACTGTAGAATCACCACAACAGATTAATTATTAAAGTTTTTGTGTTACCATAGCAACTGAAGAATCACTACAACAGATTATTTACTAAAGTGTTTGTGTTACCATAGCAACTGTAGAATTACCACAACAGATTATTTACTAAAGTGTTTGTTACCATAGCAACTGTAGAATCACCACAACAGGTTATTTACTAAAGTTTTTGTGTTACCATAGCAACTGTAGAATCACCACAACAGATAATTTATTAAAGTTTTTGTGTTACCATAGCAACTGTAGAGTCACCACAACAGATAATTTATTAAAGTTTTTGTTACCATAGCAACTGTAGAATCACCACAACAGATTAGTTACTATAGCTTTTGTGTTACCATAGCAACTGTAGAATCACCTCAGCACATTAGTTACTATAGCCTTTTTGTGTTACCATAGCAACTGTAGTCACCACAACAGATAATTTATTAAAGTTTGTGTTACCATAGCAACTGTAGAATCACCACAACAGATTAGTTACTATAGCTTTTGTGTTACCATAGCAACTGTAGAATCACCTCAGCAGATTAGTTACTATAGCTTTTTGTGTTACCATAGCAACTGTAGAATCACAACAACAGATTAATTACTATAGTTTTTGTGTTACCATAGCAACTGTAGAATCTCCACAATAGAGCCATTTAAGTATGGCTGAAAACACTAGAGTATTTACTGTAGATTAGTGTAGTATTGTGTCATGTGGAATGTAAAGGTAAACTGGTCTCCACACGTTCAGTCAAACACACAGCTGCTGCTGATTTACAGAGACGCAGCGGAGGAAAAGAATCAGCAGCAGCAGCAGCAGCTCTTCAATGACTTAATAACGGTTTCCGCTGGCCGAGATCCTGCTGCTATTTCTGTCTGGAGGATCAGAGAGAAACGTTCTGTTCTGCTGCACTTCAGCCATTCACACTCTCACCACTCCATCATGCAGATCACTGACACACACACACACACATACACACACTTGTATACACACACCCACACACATACTCAAACTTGCATGCACATACACACACAGACACATGCACACATACACTTTTTATTCTCTTTATTCCATCTTCTATCATCAAATGTAACTAATTATGTAATTATTAATCAGAATTTCTATAAACTATTAATAATAAAACAATTGTATATAAACATAGATATATAATATATACGTAATAATTGATCAACTGGCAAAATTCTAATATACTTTTATTTATTAGTCACAGACCGGCTTATAATAACGCACAAAACTTAATGTGATTAATAATGATTAATAACTGATGGATAAAATCAAGCAGCTCTGGCTTCGGTTGCGCTTTGAATGAGGGATTTTCACACAAGCCTGTTTCCTGTCAAACGCGTCTCACTTCCTCTTTTCTGCGTTCTGCTTCCTCCTCGTCACACACGCATGCAAGGTGCTGGTGTCGTTCCGTCTCTCACACACACCTTTCTCCCATCTGCACGCGCCAAGAGGAAGAGAAACTAAGAGGATGTCAGTGTGTAGAGCAGGAGGCGGTGTGTGCTTCGGATTGGGAAATGTTTTCAACAGCGCATGAAAAGCAGAAGTGCCAAACATAGAGCTGCAGCAGTCGGAGCGCTTCCCAGAACACCACGCTCACTGTCCACACCGCTGATCAGAAGGCTGTTTCTTTTAAAGGATGCCTTTTTAAATATGGCATTAAAGATATGTGCAATGCTATTTCTGTTAGCTGCTTTCTATTCATCAAACAATCCTAAACATAAAACGTGCCATGATTTCCATAAAAATATGAGAAATGTGTTTTTAAATTGATAGTAACAATAGAGCGGAGGTGAAAAATGTTCAAAATGTGTCACGATACTCTCTTGAATCAATTCTGAGTTTAGCTTATAACAGCAGACTGCGCTTTAGGCTATATTTGTACAGCACACTGGACTCTAGGCTGGGGTTTAACAGCAGACGGTGTTCTAGGCTAGATTTGAACTGGCTAGCCTAGAGCGTCGTCTGCTGGTAAACACTTACCCAGAGTGCCATCTATTGTTAAAACTGTTAAATGTGCCGTTTGCTGTCAAAATAGTCTAGAGCGTCGCCTGCTGCTAGAACTAGCCTAGAGCGCTGATAAAAACTAGTCTAGAGCATCTGCTGTTAAAAACTAGCCTAGAGCGCTGATAGAAATTAGTCTAGAGCGTCATCTGCTGCTAAAACTAGCCTAGAGCGCTGATAAAAACTAGTCTAGAGCATCTGCTGTTAAAAACTAGCCTAGAGCGCTGATAGAAATTAGTCTAGAGCGTCGTCTGCTGCTAAAACTAGCCTAGAGCGCTGATAAAAACTAATCTACAGCGTCGTCTGCTTTTAAAACTAGCATAGAGCGCTGATAAAAACTAGTCTAGAGCGTCGTCAGATGTTAAAACTAGCCTAGAGCGCTGATAAAACTAATCTAGAGCATCATCTGCTGTTAAAAACCAGCCTGGAGTGCTGATAAAAACTAGTCTAGAGCATCGTCTGCTGTTAAAAACTAGCCTATAGCGCTGATAAAAACTAGTCTAGAGTATAGTTTGTCGTTAAAAACTAGCCTAAAGCGCTAATAAAAACTAGTCTAGAGTATCTTCTGCTGCTAAAACTAGCCTAGAGCATGGTTTGCTGTTACAAACTAGCCTAGAGCGCCGTCAACTGTTAAAAACTAACCTAGAGCACCATTAAAACTAGCCTAGAGCACCGTCTGCAGTCAAAAACTAGCCTAGAGCGCCGTTAACTGTTAAAAACTAGCCTAGAGCACCATTAAAAACTAGTTTAAAGCACCGTCTGCAGTAAAAAAACTTCCCTAGCGCCGTCAACTGTTAAAAACTAGCCAAAAGAACCATTAGAAACTAGCTTAGAGCACGATCTGCTGTTAAAAACTAGCCTAGAGCGCCGTCAACTGTTAAAAACTAGCCAAAAGAACCATTAGAAACTAGCTTAGAGCACGATCTGCTGTTAAAAACTAGCCTAGAGCGCTGTCAACTGTTAAAAACTAGCCAAAAGAACCATAAGAAACTAGCTTAGAGCACCATCTGCCGTTAAAAACTAGCCTAGAGCGCTGTCAACTGTTAAAAACTAGTCTCAAGCACCATTAAAAACTAGCCTAGAGCGCAGTTAACTGTTAAAAACTAGCCTAAAGAACCATTAAAAACTAGCCTATAGGACCGTCTGCAGTTAAAACTAGCCTAAAGAATCATTAGAAACTAGCTTAGAGCACGATCTGCTGTTAAAAACTAGCCTAGAGCGCCGTCAACGGTTAAATACTAGCCAAAAGAACCATAAGAAACTAGCTTAGAGCACCATCTGCCGTTAAAAACTAGCCTAGAGCGCTGTAAACTGTTAAAAACTAGTCTCAAGTACCATTAAAAACTAGCCTAATGCTCTGTCTGCTGCTAAAAACTAGCCAAGAGTGCCATCAACTGTTAAAAACTAGCGTGGAGCACCATTAAAAACTAGCCTAGAGTTCAGTCAACTGGTAAAAACTAGCCTAAAGAACCATTAAAAACTAGCCTATAGGACCGTCTGCAGTTAAAACTAGCCTAAAGAACCATTAAAAACTAGCCTAGAGGACCGTCTGCTGTTAAAAACTAGCCTAGAGCGCCGTCAACTGTTAAAACTAGCCTAGAGCACCATTAAAAACTAGCCTAGTGCGTTGTGTGTTGTTAAAAACGAACCTAGAGCACTGTCTGCTGTTAAAAACTAGCCTAAAGAACCATTAAAAACTAGCCTAGAGCACTATCTTCTGTTAAACACTAGCCTAGAGCGTTGTCTGTGTTACAGTAAACACAAGCATAGAGCGACATCTGTCATCTACAAATGTAATGAAATTACAGAAATGATATGATAATTGAAATTAATGTTAAGAAGTGTTTAGACTGGTATGAGACGAGTGTGCCGGAAGAGCATGTACATGATCTAGTACTGGAGTAAAGATGTGAGCTGAACACTGCTCTGTACAGTATAAAGACATCTGCCTCTCTGTAATATGAAACAACAGCAGAGATGAAAGAGCAAAGAAACATTTGTGCCCCCACAAGGCTTTTGCTGATTGTTATTGGGGCCTAAACTTTCCCTACCAGTGCGTGTGTGTGTAGGCACGCTCTGGCATGCTTGTCTAAGCTCCAATCAAAGGAGGCCTTGTTCACTGTATTTGTTATGTCTGAACGTCCGATGATGTGTGATGTGTCCCCACTTCCCCCCGTCACCTGCCAGGAACAAGCAGAACCAATAACAACGTGCCACACACACACACACACAGACACACACACACACACACACACACACACACACACACACACACACACGTGCTTCCTGCCACTATCCCTGAACTAGTCCATGCTAATGCAAAAGCACAACACTGGAGTGTGCAGCAGCCAGTTCTGATTCGTTTTACAGCATCTCTCGGTTCAAGCAAATACACTCTGAGGATTTTACCACTGAGTCTAAGGCAATTGGTCAGAGACCCCTAGAACTGCCTGCAGTGGGTTTACTACTGATAAACACTGACAAATAGAATAAACAAGACTAGACTAGACTAGAATAGAGCACAGTTTCCAAGACTTCAGTTTGAGAGAAACAGAAAATAATATATTTGAATAGAATATAATTAAATAGAATAGGGTTTCCCAGACTTAAAGGAAAATATTTGAATAGAATATGGAATAGACTAGGATAGAATAGAAAAAAATAGAATAAAATAGAATAGAACAAAATAGAAAATAATAACATGAAATGGAATACAACTGGAATTGCCGGACTGGGATTGAATAGAATAGATTAGAATAGAATAGAATAGAATAGGGGTTCTCAGACTGGGTTAAACAAAATAGAACAGAAACAATAAAATATAATAGAAATAATAGAATAGAGTAGAATAGAATAGAATAGAATAGGGGTTCTCAGACTGGGGTTGAACAGAATAGAACAGAAACAATAAAATATAATAGAAATAATAGAATCGAGTAGAATAGAGTAGAGTAAAGTTTCTCAGACTGGGGTTAAACCGAATAGAAAAAATAGAATAGAACAGAAATAATAGAATAAAAACAATAGATTAGAATAGGATAGAACAGAATAGAATAGACTAGAAAATAATAACATTAAATAGAACAGGAATTGCTGGACTGGGGTTGAATAGAATAGAATAGAATAGAATAAAACAGAATAGAATAGAATAGAATAGAATAGAACAGAAACAATACAATTGAATATAAATAATAAAATAGAACAGAATAGGATTTCTCAGATGAGTTGAAAAGAATAGAACAAAATAGAGCAGAAACATTAGAATAGAAATCATAGAATAGAATAGAACAGAATAGAATAGGGTTTCTAAGATTAGAATTGAAGAGCATAGAATACAACAGAATAGAATAGGGTTTCTAAGATTAGAATTGAAGAGCATAGAATAGAACAGAATAGAATAGGGTTTCTAAGATTAGAATTGAAGAGCATAGAATAGAACAGAATAGAAATAATAGAATAAAATAGAAATAATAGAATAGAATAGGGATTCTCAGACTGGGATTGAATAGAATAGAAATAATAGAATAGCAATAATAAAATAGTATAGTATAGAATATAATAGAACAGAACAGTAAATAATACCATGAAATAGAATAAAACAGGAATTGCCGAACTGGGGTTGAATAGAATAGAATAAAACAGAATAGAATAGAACAGAATAGAATATAACAATAGAATAGAACAGAATAGAATATAACAGAATAGAATAAGGGTTCTCAGACTGGGGTTGAATAGAATAGAACAGAATAGAACAGAAACAATAGAACAGAATAGAAAAGAATAGAATAGAATAGAATAAATAGAATAGAATACAATACAATACAATAGAATAGGGTTTCTCAGACTTGGGTGGAATAGAATTGAAAAAAATAGAATAGAACAGAAATAACAAAATATAAATGATAGAATAGAATAGAATAGGGTTTCTGATACAGGTTGAATAGCATAGAATAGAACAGAACAGACATAATAGAATAGAAATAATAGAATAGAGTTTCTGAGATTGGGGTTGAATAGAATAGAAATAATAGAATACAAATAATAGAATAGAACAGAATAGAATAGGGTTTTTGAGACTGGAGTTGAATAGCACAAAATAAATCAGAATAGAAATAATACAACAGAATAGAAATAATTGAATAGAATAGTTTCTCAGACTTGAGTTAAATAGAATAGAAATAATAGAATAGTAAAAAATAGAATAGGCTTTCTGAGACTGGGGTTGAATAGAATAGAACAGAATATAATAGAAATAATAGAATAAAATAGCATAGGGCTTCTCAGACTGGGGTTGAATAGAATAGAATAGAAGAGAACAGACTAGGGGTTTCCCAGACTGGAATATAGAAAAACTTCCTAAACTTGTGTTTGTGAGGGGACAGGATAGAATACACATGTCTGTGTTGTGTTTGACTCTGGTCTTTCTGCCTTCCCAGTGGATGTTGTTCAGAACAGACGGCAGGTTTGTGCTCATTTGCGATGTGATGCAGAGTTTCACATTCTAACTCACCGGGAATCTGGCTGTGGGCGGGGCTGCCGAAGGGGGGCGTGTTGAGGGTGGGGCGTGTGTTGGGGGCGGGGCCGTGGTGTGGGCTGCACCGCATGGCACTTCGCCTCAACTGCTCAGAGAAAGCTAACGCGCCTGGCTTTACTGCTTCATCCGGCTTCTGTCGGTGGCCTGCGCACACACACACACACACACACACACACACACACACACACACACACACACATACACACACGCACACACAGGACGACATGAGAGAGAACGATTTAGTTACTGACTGTTAACTGTCCATTATCAAAGCCACTTAAACACACACACACACACACACACACACACACACACATACACACACACACACACACATGCACACTTCAGTACTTCCTTGTAATGATGCTAAATGACGACACAGTGACGCAATGAAGTCATTGCTTTAGCAGGGGGCGCTGTGTGTGTGTATGTGTGCGTGTGTGTGTGTATGTATGCATGTATGTGTGTGTATGTTTCTAAGTGTCTGTATGGGTGTGTTTATGTCTGTGTGTGTATTTGGTTAGATATGTATCTATGTGCGTACCTATGTGTCTATGTATCTGTATGTATGTGTGTGTGTGTGTTTGTGCGTGCTTGTATGTATGTATCGGTGTCTGTGTGTATGTATCTTTGTGTGTGTGTGTGTTTGTTTGTGTATCTGTGTATATATGTATGTATGTATGTATGTGTATGTAAATGATTCTGTGTGTGTGTGTGTGTGTGTGTGTGTCAGACCGCACACAGAGAGAGCAGGATTAATGATCAGAGGCGCTGAGAGAGAAAGGCAAACGCAGAGGAACAGAGAGACGCTCCTGCAGCTGTGTGAAAGCATCATCCACACACACACCCACACACACACACAGAGGTCTGCGCACGCAAAGAGAGGAAGTCCTGCTGAAATCAGAGAGTGTGTGTGTGAGTATGAGCGCTTTGAAGAGCAGGCCAGCGCGTCCCACCAGACAGACCCAGAATATGCGGGGTGGCGCCGTCTGACGGATTCCCGACCGGAATAACGGACCAACGGGGGAATAAACCTGCCACGGCCACCAACACCAGAGCGCAGGGTGATACACACTCATATAAAGACATGCTATTAAAACACACACACACACACATAGATGCCGAATGCCCGACGACTGTCTGATTTGTCAAAAGGTGGAAGTGGTGCAAATTGTAATGTGGTCTATGCCTAATTGTCTCTACAGGAAGCCCCCCTGTAATCGTGTTAAACTCACGTCGTGGCTCTCGGGGTCCGTCCACTGTGATCTTTATGGCTCTCTGATATGTGGCCACTTGAGGAGGGTTTGTGAAGACGGTGATGGTGAGAGTGAAGCTCTTCCCTAAAACACAAACACACACACAAACAGGTCAACAATGCATCCCGACACTGTGTTCTACATACACACGGCACCGCAACACATGTTAAAAGGGGTCTTTTTCATGTTAAAGAGCAACTATTATCAATATTGTGTATCAATTCGTATCAGTAAACAAAGTAGTCTTATATTGATTAATAGTATATTATGGGGTACCTCAAGGCTCAGTTCTGGGTCCTTTGCTTTTTACATTATATGTGTTTGAATCTAGACCAAACTGTATGTTCACACCGAAAGCGGTGAGAGTGGTAAAGTAGTCGGAAGTCGGTGTGGGTGTCGAGGAGAGTTGAAATCAAGTCAACTTTATGGTAATGAGCTATGACGCGGTTCGGCAGCAAGCAATCGGAATATAGAAATCCACCGCTTGAGAAGAGTCCAGAGAAGACTTCACTGTGAAGTTTGGTTCCGACCACAGTTGTTTCCAAGGGTTTGATTATTGCGGTCGGCGGATTTCCAATTATTTGCAATTGCAATTGTTTTCCTACAGGAACATGCCTTAAAAAAAGTTACTGGCGAGTTACTGATGTGCATTAATTTATGTAAAAAAAGAAAAGCAAATTAAACAGTTTATACAATTAAAGTCAGATTTTTAAACCCCCCTGAATTATTAGCCCCCCCCCCCCCCTGTTTATTTTTTTCCCCAATTTCTGTTTAACGGAGAGCAGATTTCTTCAACACATTTCCAATCATAATAGCTTTAATAACTGAGTTCTTTTATCTTTGTCATGATGACAGTACATAATATTTTACTAGATATTCTTCAAGACACTTCTGCACAGCTTAAAGTGACATTTAAAGGCTTAACTAGGTTAATTAGGGTAGCTATGCAGGTTAATTAAGCAAGTTATTGTATAATGATGGTGTGTTCTGTAGACTATCAGGAAAAAATATAGCTTAAAGGGGCTAATAATTATGTCCTTAAAATGGCATAAAAAAATTAATAACTGCTTTTATTCTAGCCCAAATAAAACAAAAAAGATTTTTTCCAGAAGAAAAAATATTATCAGACACACTGTAAAAATTTCTTTACTCTGTTAAACATCATTTGGGAAATATAAAAAATCAAAAAATAAAATCAAATTATAAAATAATTCTGACTTCAACTGTATATGCTCCTCCTTTAACATTTTTTAATATACATGCATTTCCTGTAGTAAAAGTGCATTTAATAACTCTTGTTAATAACTAAAACTGGAAAAATGTGCGTAATATATTTGTATTTAATTTAATAATTATGTACCCTCTCCTCTGTTTTTTTGTTTTCCTTTTTTAAATCCATTTTTTTCTCATTTATTCTATTCTTGTAGAGATATGTAAAGTGGTTTTGTTGTATAAGAAAACTGTACATGCTGGTGCTTGTTAAGAAAAAAGTAAAAAAGTCTCATTTGGATTAATAGTATATTATGGGGTACCTCAAGGCTGAGTTCTTGGTCCCTTGCTTTTTACATTATATGTGTTTAAATCTACACATCACTACTACAGACACATCTCTTTGCACTAGCATGTACATAAAACGATAACACCTACCCATCAAAATGTTATTAATTTGTATTAGTAAACAAAGTAGTCTCTTATCGATTAATAGTATATTATGGGGTACCTCAAGGCTCAGTTCTTGGCCTTTTACTTTTTACATTATATGTGTTTAAATCTAGACTACAGACACATCTCTTTGCACTAGCATGTACATAAAATGATAACACTTACCCATCAAAATGTTATTAATTTGTATTAGTAAACAAAGTAGTCTCATATCGATTATTAATAGTATATTATGGGGTACCTCAAGCTTTAGTTCTTGGTCCCTTGCTTTTTACATTATATGCGTTTAAATCTAGACTACAGACACATCTCTTTGCACTAGCATGTACATAAAACATTAAACCTTACCTATCAAAATGTTATCAATTTGTATAAGTAAATGAAGTAGCCTTATATCAATCAATAGTATAATATGGGGTACCTCAAGGCTTAGTTGTTCTGGGTTCCTTGCGTTTTACATCTTATGTGAAAAACTACACTGTAAAACATATAACAGGTAATTGTCTGTATTTCTAAAATTTTTTTTACAGAATTTTCCAGTTTTTTCATAATACAGTGAAAGAGCTGTTGTTTTTACAGATATGTTCTGTAATTAAATGTACAGTTATTGCTTGTATTTTGGTGTTACGTTATTTTTCTGCTTTTTAAAGGGAATTTCATGTATTTCCAGAGAGTAAAACATAAGTTTACGTTAGTATTTACAGATAATTCCTTTAAAAATAGGGAAACCAAAATTCAGTCAAATTGTTTTTAGTCTTTAGTTTTAAGATCAACATGTGAAGATAGCATGAGGTTAATCAAGTGAAATAACAGCTTATTGTTTGTAGGCTGCAAATAATACATGCACTGTAAACTAGGAAATGTTCATTTTACTACTTTAACAATGTTGCTATGCGAACTGTGACGATCACCAGTGATCTATCGGCTGCGGATCGCTGGAAAACTACACACGTTACTTAACAAACTACAACTCCCAGCATGCACCTCTCACACACTGATTTCTAGTTCAAACCAAGCGGCAACCTCCCGCTCTCTCTCAGGAAGCCAATACGGAAGTAACTAAAACTGCAATTCATCTGAAATTCCGCTAGCCGTGGCCGCTCCTGGCTCCAAAACAGAGCAAATTTCAATTGAGCCCACTGTTAGAATGGCCAACTCTACAGCAGAAAAAAAGGTGTTTACAGCCTGACACAAACAAAGATTTGGGTTAATACAGCTAATATTACCCTTCATAACAACTGTGAGGGGGGTGAATTTTTATTTATAACTCATCCGTTTCCTTTATTTTAAGTTATATTAAGTTTGCATAATTAAGGGTGTGGCCACTTGAGTGACAGCTTGGTCTCGTTGGTCGCCGTCACGTACCTCAGCTGAATCCTGCAGATTAGCAACTGAACTCGGCATATTTATCGTATTTCTGTGTTGTTTTATGTGGCTTTACACAGTCGACTGTCTTTTGGACTTGTTTCCTACAATTATTAGATGGCATGGCATGCTGAGTGCACTTAATTGTGCTCACAAACCCTTCACGTGGCCTCCGTTTCCCATTCAAGATCATTTATCGTTTATATTTATATTTAGAGCTGTAATGCACTCCAGAATCTGATGAATTGATTAGCTGTAGGCTCTAGATCAGTCATCTGAAGCGTTGTCATTCAGTGGTATGCTGGATTTCATCAATAGTCTTACAGTAACTAACACAGACTATATCTGAAGTGTTTGGAAGTAATTCGCGTTTTCCTCCTGTTGAAAAACGTCATAAGAGCAAATTTAGTGGCTCAGTGTGTTACAGCTGTGTTTTTAAAAGTCTAAACACTTTATTGATATAGTGTACAACCAAGCACAAGTGGTCAGGATACAAACGAGTCGCAGGTGATAAAGTATTAAGCGTTCTCCCAAAGTAAAGTGTGTCTGAACCAGGTCCAAGCTAAATGCAGCATGCGTCTGTAGCTCCGCCCACTCTCCGCCTCTTTGCCCTTGTTTGGTATCCCGCCGTGGGTGTGATGACGCGCGAACAAAATGACGACGGTTGGCCGCGCCTACTTGTGGCTTCTTTTGCGCTCTGTAGAAACCTATGGGTGACGTCACGGATACTACGTCTATATATTTTACAGTCTATGGTTCTAACTGATTACACACACAGTCAGAAGATCGTTATAGGCTGTTTTCAATGACTATAAACACACAGACACATCCTTTCTGAGTCTTAAACTGTTTAGTGAGCATTACGACACGTTTCCCCTTGCCTTGCCACATTCGACCCCTTTGTTATTTTGTTTGCCACCTTTATGCTTGGGATTATCTGTGTGCACCTGTTTGTTCCTGTTTCAACCTTTAATTGCAAGACGATTCTGTTAATAAACTGCTATTTGATGCTCAACTTTGTTGTGCAGGCGTCCTCACATGACACAAACCTTGTTTTTGTTGTCAAACGATGAGCAACTGTGTTATTAAAAAAGAAATCAAAAATTAGATAACAGTTTTGTATTTTCAGGAGAGGGGGACAATCACGCTCAGACACGTTTCAAGACAAAGTGTATGTGAATGAGTGTGTATGGGTGTTTCCCAGTATTGGGTTGCAGCTGGAAGGGCATCCGCTGCGTAAAACATATGCTGGATACGTTGGCGGTTCATTCCGCTGTGGTGACCCCTGATGAATAAAGGGACTAAGCTGAAAAAGAGGATATATTTATCTGCAATGTGTGTATGATGGAAAGGGTGCGAGACTGTAAAACACAGAAGACGAGACGGAGCTGCGTGTATTTCTGGATGAAGACATTATTATGAGTCTGACAGACGGCTGCACGTGTCACAATAAAAGCCCACTATCAGACGCTGAAGGAGTTTAGCGAGTCGCCTTTGTGGTGTCCTTAAACAGACACGGAGTTCAGACGGTACAAACACTGCGTCACGAATACACATCCACAAATACACAGAGGACACATGAGGAGGATCTGGAATAATACAGGAGATATGGAGAGACAACACACACACACACACACACACACACACACACACACACACACACACACACCATACAGTAAAACAGACACATATAAACAAATTATAAACAAATTTCCCCACATCACACACACACACACACACACACACACACACACACACACAAATGCTTTGTATGGGACGTCCCCTTGAGAAAAACTGCACTTCCTCCCTGTTTGGAAAGCGAGTCTCTCAGACAGAAAGACTCCCAGGCAGACGCTAAACCACTGAACCACAGTGTGTGTGTGTGTGTGTGTGTGTGCGTGTGTGTGTGTGTGTGTGCGTGTACTGAAGGCTTTGTAATGACTGTGTTAGATGTTAGACAGGATGAGTCAATGTTTTGCATTTATATTTCTGGAGAACTTCTACACAGACCGTACTGTGGTGTTATCAGAAGCATTACAGAATTATTAGCGCATCCA